TTTATACAGATAGCTGTCAGGCAGCCAGCCAATGGGAGAGACGCAATTCTCCTGCCGGCAGCCAGCCGCACCTGGGCCAATCAGGTTATTGCGAGGCGTGGCTTGGCTGCCAGCTGCGTCAGGAGGATGCAACAAATCCTGACACAAAACTTCTCTGTTCTAATGACTATGTATAATATTGGCCTCAAAAAGGCATGGTTCATTTATTAAAGTCCATTAGTAGATGTGCAGCTAACACCTTGAAAAAAAGCACAGAGCCACATATTTTATATATATTTTCCTAAAAACTATCTGTGAACCATTTGGCATTAGTGACAAAGAAAGAGGTGGCAAATCTCTATATACTGAGCCTGACTGAAGCATTATACCTTCCACAGTTGTTCCCCTTCTTACTTAAGCACATGAACTGGACTACAGAAAATTACAAAATAAAAAGAAGGGAATTTTCTGGACAAACTTATAAACATTCTCATACTTGTAATATGCCCCTCAGCAAAAAAAAAAAACAAAAAAACCAGCTTGTAATAACAGAAAAAAGACTAAAAAGATGACTGATACCGTGTTTCTCCGAAGGTGCTTATGGCCTTGTTTTCAAGGAGGTCTTATTATTTTTGAGGTGCAGGAGACGGCGAGCATGGTCACTTCATGGCTGCTGCTGTGTTTGCAATATTTTCAGGGAGGGCTTATTTTGGGGGCTGGGCTTATTTTAGCGCATACGCTCAAAAGCCAAATTGGGCTTATTACCTGGGGAGATCTTATTTTCAGGGAAACAGGGTAGTAGTACAGATCAGAATACATGAGAATCAGCCTAATGAAATAAATTAGTGAGAGAGAGGAGTTAACAGAACAAAACAAAACAAAAAAGAGTGGATTGGGGCGAGGGGAATAAATAAATAAAAGATCAATGATAAGTAAAACAGAATTTGAAGCCTGTGGTATTCAATTATCAGATAAACATTATTTATTAACTAATCTTTATCTTATTATTTACCAGAGACCCAGCATGGTGTAGTGGTTAAGCATCACTGGCTGAGGAATTCTGGGAGTTGAAGTCCACAAGTCTTAAAGTTGCCAAGGTTGGAGACCCCTGGGTTAAGGCATCAGATTAGAAACCAGGAGTTCTAGTTCTGCCTTAGCCACAAAGCCTCCTGGGTATCTTGGGCCAGCCGTTTTCTCTCAGACTTAGGAAGGAGGTAATGGCAAATTACTTCTGAAAAACCTTGCCAAGAAAACTGCAGGGATGGGTCCAGGCAGTCTCTTGAGAATTGGGCATGATTGAACATAGGAAAAATATGATTTAGCTCTATTAGATGTTTTATTTTCCACAATTAATCAATATTAATGTATACATTCATGTATACATAAATAAATGCTTTAAAAACTGTATTCTACTTCATGTGGATTGTAAACACTAGCTTTAAATTGCATGAAATACTGTACTTTATTTTAGAAATATTAGGGGAATTTGGAACTCAGTGGCCCTGACAGACCCTACAACTAATTAAATTAGGAAAAACTTGGAAACGTCATCAAGCTATATAAGAGATTTTGACACTTTAGAATTAATTGGAATTCATTAGAAGTTACATAAAAATAATTATTCATAAATAATATATAAAGTATTTGTAGAGATTCTTGTATCCAATCAGTTAAAGGCACAGAAAGTTAATTTTTGGATTTGTGTCCAAAGTCCACTGCGGGTGAAAAGGGAGATGAGTTAAAATTTGAATCCCTTAGAACACAGCCTTCTATTTACTCAATCTGTTGCAACTCTCCCTTCGTATTATTTTTTAATCTTTGAATGCAAAACCATGGAGAACCAAGGTAACCTTTGTGGACCTATATTTGTGGCCATCCATAATAGTGGGCTGGTAGGTAATGAGCTTGATGAAATTTGCAGATTTTTTTTCATAGCTCATCTTTCTCCAACTCGATTCAGTCATAAAACTTTGTTCACTTTTTCTCAGTTTTGGCTGTGACTTATTAGAGACATTTCTCACAACTAGGTCTTCAATACTTATTATTTAAATGCTTTTCCATAGTTCAGTATAGCCATATGGTATATTAATGGTTCTACTTCTTTCAATATGTTTTCCAAATTTTCAAAATGAAAGCTTTTTTTTTTAAGGAGAAAAGCTAAGATACTAATATATTTTGTGCAACAAATCTAGATGTGGTGCTTGTCTTGTCATTTGCTTTGTGTCTGCACGCATGAATGCATATCAGTGATGTGCAAGATCCAAAATAGGAACTGTCCTAAAGGGAATTATACAACCCTTTCTCTTTGCTAAAAATTTAATTGGAAACTCTTCCTCGCTGTTGTTCATGAGGAAGAAAAGTTACCATTGGCAACAACAGAGCATCTTTTCTATTATAAACAGCACTTTATTGGGTAAACAGTGATTTTAATTAGTGCCATGACAGGGCAAAGGTTTAAAAACCTCTTTTTGCATGTTGCTACTCCAATAGGCTCTATCCCCTCACTGTACCATCAGCTATTTATTTTAAATTATTTCTTTTAAAACAAATGAAACAACTTAAAAGCATAACTATTGATAAAAACCAAAGGAACAATCAGAGTGTGTTTACATCCAGTACACAAAAATAATTACAATTACAGTGGCCGTTTATTTATATCAACAACTTAAACACCTTTTTCAATTTCCAGAAAGAAAAGAACCAATTTTCCCTCCAAAGACATCTGCTGAAAATTAAACTTTCTATTATAAAAACAGAACTTTCTTAATGAATGTAGCTTTGATTGTATTAATATTTGTTCTAGGATATCTTTTCTCCTCACTCAAGCATTTTTGATCTCCTTACTATTTTCATTTAAATTTTAAATAAAATGAACAACTCTAGCCATCAAAATAAGAATATTCACCTACTTGAAACAAGGAAAAGGTATTTGGTCTTTAGGAATAAATGACAGTTAATACTACTATTTGTGATTATGTTACCCAGCCTGGTAATGAAACATTTTCAAGAAAAACAGCAAAGAACCCAACCTGCATGAGCTACCATTGCAATGTTATTACTTATTAAAACTAATTTTCTGCTAATTAATGATAAAATTGTAGGTAATAATGTGAAGCCAATTAAATAAACGATTAGAATATAAATACTTAAAACCAATTGTCAAAGTAAAATTAACTAATAGATATCACAAACAGTAATCACTATCTACCATGATACTGAAACACCAGATCTCTAAAATAAAAAAGTGACTATTTCAGGATCTATTTGTAGAACTTTGCCTGCTTAAAAGATTTTTTAATCAGCTATAGTTAGAAAATGTTCCTATTTAGAAAGTGTTTTATGCCATTTTACTACTTTCTAAATGTACATTTAAAAATATTTTCTAAAAAAAATCTATTACTACTGAACTGGCATGCATTTCAGATATTTTAATGGGTTCAGGAATTTGTACAAAATTATAATATTTTCCTATAAATAAATTCTAGCGTTATGATATTTTCATTTTTTTCCTCTTTGAGCAAGATTATTTCCTGTTATGTTTTCAAATGAACACTGCCATGTTTGTTGAAATTCATATGAATACTTTTATTAGTAAGCAGTTATTTTTTAAACTGAGAATAAAGGTATTTAAATACTATGTCAGCAGTACTAAACATTTAAAATGACTCCCTTATTTATACAATATGTCAGTAGCTCTGCTTGCTTTATTTCAGTTTTGTTTAAGGGTATTTAAACTTCTTTCCTGTATGGATCTTACTGTACACCAGCAGTTAAGATACCGAATACAGATATGCAGGAAAAGACTTGTTTCTGCAGATTAATTCTTTTTCAACATGCTTTTGTATATCAAATCCTGATAATCTGATTTGCCTCTCTGTCTGCTTCTGCGTGCATCATCAGACTAGTATTTTCTTTTCCTGATTAGTGATGTACTTAAAAAGAAAATTGCCCAAAGCCATACATTAAAACATTTCCACATTATGTGTAAAATGTATGTCCGCATTTAACAGGTCAAAGAAATCACAAAAAACGAAGTAATTAATAAATACATAATCCTCACCTGTAAGAATATTGTTTAAAAATCATGAACTAATAGAACCGGTGATATAGTCTAAAATCTTGAAACATATGAAGTCTCAAATTTAACATTTTATATCCCAGGAACTAGAAATAAACACCATTTATTTTTGTGTAAGTAGAAGTAAGGTACCACTAATCCCTGATTTTTAATTCTACTCAACCTTAGGTTTTCAGCTTCTAAAGGTCTAAGGGTCTTGGTTACAATGGAAATTCAAGAAGCTTCTTTTACCAGCCCGATTTAATGGGAAAGCTCTAAAACCAGTCTACTTGCAAAAAATAAGTTAGTAAAGTCTGTTTCCCAAAAAGTACCTTTAAGTACATGTACATCTTGCATAATTAACAAGTATAACTTCAAAAAGGGAAGGGAACGGAATTGATTTCAGGGAACGTAGTATTTTGCAGACATTGAAGGCTCAATATTATATTCTCTCCCTGGTTCAAATAAGTGTTTTCTTCCCATAAAAAGTATAATACAATGGGCAACTTCTCTTGACATTGCAGCTAGAAAGAAAACCACTTTATCATCCTCAAACTCAATAGTGCTAACTGACTATGCCTTGTGTAAATGGTGATTAACTTTAAAAGTAACAACTATCATTGCTATGTGTACAATTAATAAAATATCAGATTTTTGTGGGATCAATAAAATAAATAAACAAAACCTTAATAACTTCAATAAAACCTGAAAAAGAACCATTTAACAAAATGTATTTTAAGTTATTAATTAGTAATCATGTTGTCTGTCTCGAAGGATAACTCTGCAAATAAGAAATGTGTTGTTTCAATACAACCAGAAGAGCATGTATCAACTTCTAGCTGCCTGTGCTTCTCACAGCAATCAATTTATTGCAAACCTTGATCCTGGTATTCTTTCTATATTAAATTTCAGTTTATACATTCTACATTGTGGCTGAACTTAAATGAGGAGAAAACACACTTACCTTCACAATACTTCTTAAATCCTGCACATATGTTCTTTCAGTCTCTAGAATTTCTTGGACCACTCTGTCAACATACAGGAGTTTTGGACTTGTAGACTCAACAATCAGTGACATGACACAATTTTTGTTATTTTCCTTTGTTTCAGGTTTTCGTGGCATATTTGGCTTTCTTCCAATATTTCCATCAGAGAGCTGTTCCTTGATAGGGTTATTTTTTCTTAGCTCTTTGCTGGGAAACTGTTGGGTTGGGTGCAGCTCCAACTTTATGGCCCCCACTTCCTTGTCCTGATTGAACAAACCCAGATGACTGTTGGAAACCAAGGTTGTTCTGCTGCCACAGGAACAGTGACTATCTCTGGAGGATGCTGAGGAAGATGTTGAGCTGAAGCTAACCGGTCGGTCACTGTCTGACAATTCCATCGCTTTGATTCCACAGTACAGGAAGTGTCGGTCTTCTCTATGTAGGTTGTTTCCTGTCTTCTTGGGAGCTGCGCCTACCATTACTGGAGGCAACCCATTAAGACTGTAGCCATCTTTGAGGAGAGAAAAAAATAAATATCAATTTTGCATGTATATTGGATTTCATTAAAAACCATTTTACTTATGCACAGAAAAGTAATCATATGGAAGGTCATCTTCAGACACTTCAATGAGTACAAGCAGAGCAGGAGGAATCTGTTGCAGAACACTGCATATAAACAACAACCCAATGAATCATCTACCAGTAGGGACTCCTATCTTTCTTTATTTTTAAACTTCATTTGAATAGCTTTTGAAAAAAATCAGCATTCATATGTCCATATTTGCGGCAAAAAACCCACTTGATTTTACACATCTTTCTAAAGTAGATGATCAAAATGATAACTAGGCCAACCTAGACAAAATTGCAAAAAAAAAAAGAACCCCAGAATGAAATTAAAAAAAACTTTAATGGATTCTAAATTAAGTTAAAGAAAAAAAAATACATTAGTGTAGCTTTGCCTGCCTGAATATAAACAAAACTATTAATCTCTGATCCATAGAAACTTAGAAGTTCAGAAATACCCATTCCAACAATATAGAAATTCTTAACAAACTGCAAACACTTAATATGACTACGAAGAAAAACCACTGTCACACAAAAATGTATAGTGGGCAAGGGGAGAGACTATAATTCCTAACAACAAATAATATACAGATATACAGATTCAACAGTACATCTGTGAGTGATTTCTGTAGTGGCTTTATCTCCTGCCTTTCTGAGAAATAGTCCGTTGAGTCCATGTATATCAACAACGAATCAACAGCATCCATAATATCAACTGTATCCATAATATCCAAACAAAAGAGAATGCCCAATCTGCTGCAGAAATCATCTGGGAATTGTTTTGAGCTGCATTTAATGTAAATAGTTTTACTATTATGTATCTGCATGTTGCCATAATTATTTCCCTGTAATCATTATGTTAACAACAACTGTACCTCCCAGCCCTCACTGTAGAAGAATGGTGCTTTGTATAAGCTGTTTTGTTGAAAAAATCTGTAAGCATATTGACAATCAAAAATTGATTCCTCTTCTCATTTTCTTCTTCATTAGATTTATTATGATGCCTACTCCAAAGGTCTCTTAACTGCATTATCCAGCTTGTGTGTATGAATTCATATTTTACTGGACATGTTGCTATTTTAATTGCAGGAAACCCTAATAAGCCATTAATAAAATAAATGAAATGTCTGGTTTGGCTGGATTTCCCATATTACTCATGTTTATTTATTAAGCTTGCCATATCCCTATATCTTGGAATTATTTTTAACAAAAACTATATGAATAGAAGTATTCATAATTGTCTTCTTTATGTATCCTTCCTTTTGGAACACATTATTGCTGAAAAGCAGCATAGTATATGAAACATTAACTCCTAGATATTAATAAATTATTCAAATTACACCTTGGAAATATTATTGATAGCATTTATATTTTGATTAAAGGAAGGGATCTACACTGAAAATCTATGTTTTGAAAAAATGTAACTTTGAAGATCAGAAAAAAATATTAGTGAGTTGATAGGCTCTGTAAATGTACTGATAGGTCTGTCTGTACCACATTTTATGCTTTCTCCTTTTATTACTGTGACTCAATGAAGTCAAGTTGAACCATCAGTTCCCTTTTCCTTTTCTTGGTTAATCTGATATATGACACGTTGTTCTTATTAACTGGATTACATTCTCCTGGAATATCATTTTATAGACATAACTTTTATAGTAGGTTTGCCAATAATTATTGGGTTGTTCAAATTAGAAATTTTTAAATTATTTTTAACATTTTAATTTAAGGAAATGTCTACAAGTATTTAAACTAGTTCCTGAAGACTTTAACTGTGAGCCCCTTCAATTATCCTGACATAAGAATTGCATGGCATCAAGAGTTGGTTTAAATAAAAGAGCATTGTTATGGTTTATCTATGCAATATGAAGTTAATTATTGTTGACACTATAATTACTGAAAACTGAAGATTTATTATAAGCAATAAAGTGTGCATTTCTTCAGCAAAGTAACAGAAAAATTATTTCCTTTGATTTCTGATCAAGAAACATTTTAAATTACAAAGTAAAGAATAATAACTACTCTTCAGTAGTAGACTGATTGGAAATCTGGGTAAATGAGATAAATGGAAAACCTTTCCTTTAATTTATCAGAAGACATCTAGCTAAAACATAAAATACAATAGAGTATATTTGATAAGCTGCTTTAGATATCTCAGCTGAAGTACAGAGTTCCTATTTCATTCAATCATCCTATAGCCTTTCTTCCTGTTCATTGCTATGTTGTCTCAATTACAGGCAGCCCAAAAGTACCACTAAACTGTATTTGCTTTGTCAACACTACACAAAGAGAATCTGAGAATTCCTACAGTTTAACAAAAGAAAAACAGTGTTTATTCTAATTTTATTACTTTTTATTCTTCCCAAATGCAATGAAAAACAACTGTAATAGATTTTAATGTCACAAGCCTTCAGAAACAGAAGCTTGACAAATAACAAGAGAAAACCAGTTCTAGTGATGTCACCTGAATATAATAGTTTTGTCTCTAAATCAAAAATCAATGAACACAAGTTGTTATCAAATATACACACAAAGATATGTCATAATCCAGACATACAGAGAGAGACCAATGATAGATGAGGGGATACCAGTAAATGCAATCCCATTCTTATTCCTCTTCAAACCCTGCCTGCAAACAATATGTATGTTTTGGACTAGATTCAGGATTCACATGAAAATAAAAGAAAATGAAAAGTGTGCTTGTTGACAGAATTGCTGCTGTATGCTAGCTAGAAAGTTCAGAGTAATAATATATAGTAAAATAATTCAGCATATTTTCTATTTAGACTGGTCTGGTCTACACCAATTGGCAGCATACCAAGGTACATTTTTCTCATCATGTTATTATTTTTTAACCTGGCAAGGATTGGCATTTTCTTACTTACATCAAAGATCAAATAACTCAAATGGCTAGGTACTGCTGCCTAGCTGCAAATAAGCCTTTACACTCTTTGGAATTTTGCTAGAAGAAAAAAAGAAAAGAAAAGAAAAGAAGAAACTAGTAAGTAATATCCTATACATCACATTATCCTTGAGATTCCTTCAATTTCTGTGATCCTATGACAGGAAAGAGCAATCTGCAGCCCAGGACTAAACCAATATCTGAAACCTTCCCTTTTTTTGTAGCCTTTCAATTGCCCACTAATCACTACTTTTCAAATCTCAAAAGTAAATAACCATTTTAAAAATTAAGTATTAATTTTAAGCACCCAAAAACTAATAAATTAAGCCATACAATCATTTTGACACACCCTTTAACTCCCTTTCAAACTCAGGGGGAAAAATCTTCATCCATTTGTAGCATTATCCCATCTTTTGAAGTTCATGTCTTCTTCCAAAATATCTATTATAAACTAAAGGCACTCAAAGACTCCTCTGCAAGATATTTCTACAAAAATCTCATCAATGAAAAAACATAGTAAGACTAACTATGATGCTTAACACAGAGCTTTCAAAGTGGCAACTTTTACTCAGTTATTTTCAATCTATGACGATTAGTTAGATAATTCATTTCAATAGTTCTCCTATTTTTCATATCATTTGCTATCAGATAAGAGATAAATGTAGATAAAACTACAGTGGGGTAGATTTGAATGAAATCTCCATGATGGCACATGGACAACTTATTTAACTCCAACCTGAAACTTGATTCAGAGGTCAGAAAGTCAAATTCTCCATATTTTCTTAGTATCTTCAATTGACAAAGGTGTGTTAAGTTGGTTTGGTTTGGCTAAATGCTGGAAAGAGAACTAATTGCACTTATCAACACACTGCTAGGAAATGTGGTTTAGTAACGTGATCCTTTCTCACTCATAACTTTCCACAAATGTAGTAATGTTCCCCACCCTGTCTGACTTCCTCCCTGTGAGGTTACATACTGCTTGCTGATATTCTAAACAAAGATTAAACATACACACACAGACAAAGCTGTAGATATAGTTTCTCTGAAAGTTTGAGAACTATGTTACCTCCACAGCCACAGATAACTAAAATTAAAAACATGCATTTTAAAAACACATATGAACCCAGCTTTCCAATGCAAATGATATGAAGTTCTAAAAAGAACTATACCAGTTCATGCTTTTTTGATTATGACTTCAGTAATGCTAACCCTTTAACTGTTACAACAGTCACAAAAACATCTCTTGTCTCTAGGAACTTCAAAAGTTAAAATACTATAATGTGTTTCAAAGAGCTATTTATATCAATGGTTAATACTCTTAAATGAATGAAAGTATCTAATCTAGACACTTATGACTCAGAGGAATACAATATTTTCATGCTATACCATCTACAAGTTTTAACATTATATAATTCACTGCCTGCATTTTTATTTCTTATTTTTGATCGATCAATTGTTGTTTCACAGGTTGCATTTCATGAAAACAGGAGAGGCTGTGTAGCTATAGGGCATATGCAGTTTGACTGAAAATGTCCTAATAAAATTTTATTTGAATAGGACAATATGGTCTAGAACTGGATCAACACATGCATGCACAAAAATATCAAGCTGTTGGATCAAGAACACATCCCCCTACGGACACACAGATATCCCTGATAAGCACCATGGATAGACATCCCTACCATTTCAGTTAATCTAGACAACAACAACAAAGCAAATTAAACCCCCTATTATTCAAATAACAAAGTTTGCATTCTTTATAGCCAATAAACATGCTCTCTACAGCTTAGCACATCACAGTGATGTACAACAACCCACTGAAAAATACAAGTGATCCAAATGAGGGTCTCCACTCTCCCCCCTTAATTCCCAAGCATCGTGTAACCTTTCCACTCCCTCCCAGTTCTCCCAAAACTGAGCAAGAATTCAAGATTTTTAGCAAATCCAGTTGTCTTACAGATTCTTACCGTCTTGAGTTTTCTGTCATATCATGAAATATCCTGGAGTCCCAAGCACTTTTACGAGGGAGAATTTTCTGCAACACTTAC